CCCCGCCCCGCCCCGTCCTGTCGGACAGACCTCTCCGGCGCCGCGCGGCTTGCGCCACCGCCCCCGAGCGCCGGGCGGGCGGGGTTGCTGGCGAGGGGCGGGATGTTTTGGTGGGCCCGGGTCCTGATGACGGCATCCGAGCGCGCCTCGCTGGGGCTTGGAGCTGGACTGCACAGCCGGGGGCTTACGCTCACCCCCTAGCAGGTGGGTGTGGGCCCCAAAGGGGTGGAGGTCGAGGACCGGGATGGAAGGGGCGAGGCACACGCTCGCCCCCTCCCCTATGCAGGCCGGGGTCGGGTGGCACTGGGAGTCGGCAACGTCTGGGGAGCCCTGACCGAGCACGAGGACCCCTCATCCTTGCTTTCGAGCTTTCTGGAGGCCCCTCTCTGGGCGAGCAGGAGCCTCCCCTTCCCTAGGTCCGTGGCCTGGGGCCAGCTTTCCGGGCCTGGCCCGGAGGAGCGAGCCCCCGCGCTGTGAGAGTCGAGTCCTCATTTGTAATCACTCCTTCAAACTTTCCTTGAGCTCCTTCTGTGCCAGTCGCCTCCGAATCCCTATCCCCTACCCCGGGCGCCCGACCGCATCGGTGTTGTCCTGGCGCCTTCGGTACAGGGAACACGGTGCCCCGAGCCGGGCCGCGGAGAAGCCGGGGCCATACGGGACTGGAAAAGCTCTGGGTGAGCGGTGCGCGAAGGCGCCCACAGTAGTGCGTGGCAGCTACCTCTGTGTCCTAGGGCCGGGCACCCAGCAGGGACTGAATTATTGAATGAAAGAACGAACCGTTACTTCTGCTGAGAGAAGGTAAATAGTGAAAAAGTGCTGTGATCCTGGGGGTGGGGAGTGTTTAGGACTGCGATAAGAGAAGAGAGGATAACCTTGGTGAAGATTATTCATCACTATTGGGCAGCTACTAAGCGTCGGATCTTGTACTGGGTGCTGAAGATGCAGAACGAAGGGGACAGGAGGGTCCCGGCCTCCCAGCTCCCATTTTGGGAGGTAGGGAGAGACCAGGGAGTAGTCCGGCATTTGCAAGGGAAGGGAATGGTCAGTGGCTGATGGCAGCACCTCAGGCAATTGTGTGTGTGTGTGTGTGTGTGTGTGTGTGTAGTGGTCGGGGCACAGAGCAGAGGCCCTTCCATGGCTCCCTGAAAAAGATGGGACCAATCTAAACCACGAAGGCTGAGGAGTCCTGGGCAACATTGAGTGTGTTGCAGGCAGAGAAAGGTGAGGAAAGGCTTACGGGAGGTAAGTAGTCAAGGCAGAAGGGGCTTGTTGAAGTGTTTTTTCCTGTTAAGGCTTTGAATCTCTAGGGCATTGGGGAGCCTCTTTTGCTTCTTTTGGGGGGATTTTAAGCAGGAGAGTGACATGATTGTATTTGCATTTTCAAAATATTCCCCTGGTTGCCGTGTAGGAGGGTGCAGGGAGACTCAGGTCAGTGAGGTCAATGCCATCCTGTCAAGATGGCGGCAGCCAGAACCAGGGTTTTGGAAATAGGATCGAGAGAAGCAGGTGAACTTGGTATTTAGGAGGTGGAATTGGCAATATTTGATGGTGGGGCCTTGGTCTCAAAGGATCTGCTGACTTTTTTGAAGAAGGTGGAGCAGAGGGAGTGAGGTGACAAAGGCAGAGACAATGAAAAAGTGGGTGTTGGGGAAAAGAGATCCCTGGTGTGGTGCTGCTTGTATGCATGTGTGTCTGTGTCTTCCTTCTAGGAGGTGGGGTCACAGGGGAAGGATGCAGCTGGAACACAGAAGCCCTAGGATGTCAAGTAGAGGAGTTAGAACCTTATTTTACTAGTGCTGGGGGCCATGAAATGTTACTGTGGAGGACTATATCATGGCCCTTGTGGCATTTGGGCACCAGGCTGGAGCACAGGATGTTCCAAACTTTGAGCACCCTCTCTTTTATCCCTCCAAGGTCAGGAGCTGTAGAATCTGGCTCCAGGTCACCTGTAAGGTGAGTCCAGGTGCTGATGGCAAGGACTTCTTCCTCTCTCCACAGGGCTGGGAGCAGCCATCCCTCAACATGGGGCTGGAGGCCCAGAGGCTGCCAGGGGCCGAGGAGGCCCCAGTGAGAGTGACCCTTCGAGTCCGCCCGCTGCTGCCCAAGGAGCTGCTGCACGGACACCAGAGCTGCCTGAGAGTGGAGCCAGGGCATGGCCAAGTCACCTTGGGCCGAGACCGCCACTTCAGCTTCCACGTAGTGCTGGATGAGGATGCCGGGCAGGAGGCTGTGTATCAGGCCTGCGTGCAGCCTCTTGTCGAGGCTTTCTTTGAGGGCTTCAATGCCACCGTCTTTGCCTATGGTCAGACAGGCTCCGGGAAGACGTACACCATGGGGGAGGCCAGTGTGGGTAAGTGACCCTGCTTGAGGCCCCATGCCCATATTGAGGGGCCTCAGTGTCTCCTGAATCTCTGCCCCTGCCTTCTTGCTGCCATTCCCTGTTGAAGATGGGGGTGCTGGGGGCGGGGAGGCAGGGTTCCTAAGATCTGCAGCCCACGATGGGACCAGCTGTGTCAGTGGTCTGGGCAAGGCAGGAAGCAAGAGTCCTTGGATGCAAGTGGCCTTCTTGGTTCCATAGAGATGGGGCCACACTGTCTGGTTCTGCGGACCTCACGGGGAGGAAGGGCACGGGGAGTTGCCTTGTCTCTGGAGGTTGTCAGGATGGCTGCTGAGGGTCAGGAATCCATGTTCCAGTTGGAGTGGTTGGAATGGGGACTGTCCTGGAAGAGATGAGCTTTGGTTGCTGCATAGGAGGGAAGCGGGCTGGTTCCATGAGGCTCTAGAGCAGAGTTTTGGGAGAGATGCTTTGGGCTAACTGAAGGAACTGCCTCCTTTTCAGGAGTAGTGCCTTCTCTTAGGTTATAAAAGTGTACATGTTTGTTGTGGAAAATTAGGGAAATGCAGAAAAACAGATACATAAAATAAAACTTCACTTGCTAACTGCATTTCAGAAATCACTCACCCTGTTAGCATTTCAATTTCTTTCTTGGTGAAAATTATTATACTTTAAAAAAGTGGTATTAAAATTTTAAAAAGGGAAAAAGAGACAAGGGAAAAATGGTGTTATGTTTTACCCACCCTTTTGTATCCTTTTTTATTTTCTTAACAATACATCACGAACATTTCTACATATCATTAAATACTCTTCAATCAAATTTTCATGGCTGCCTGGCATGCCATTGTGAATATAAGGAAACTTATTTAACCAGATCCCCTGTTGGATGTTAGGATGGACACTTAGGATGTTTGCATTTTTTTTAAGTTATGAAGAAGAGTGTGCTCTAAACATCCTCTTATTAATTCCTTGGGATGAACTTAGGAGGTCCTTTAGGTAACTGAGCATAGACTATGGTAATGAGTCCCCAGGAGTAATCAAAGGGCAAGTGACCATCTGGCAGGATGTAGTAGAGGGCATGCTTACATCATGAAAGGGGATAGTTGAATCTTGAGAGGTTGCTTCCAACTCTGAAATTCTGCCTGACCACCCTGGAGCATGGCCTGGCTCGGGCTACCCAGCCCATCCTGCCCTCTGCTGCTGCCTTTTCCACATTGGAGCCCCATCCTCCAGTTGCTGGCAGGAGCTTCTGAGCCTTGTGGGTGCCATGTCCAGCTGCAGGCCTGGTGGCAGGAGGCCCTGCAATGTCTCCCCAGCCTCCCTTCACGAGGATGAGCAGGGCATCATTCCACGGGCCATGGCTGAGGCATTCAAGCTGATTGATGAGAATGACCTGCTCGACTGTCTGGTGCATGTGTCCTACCTGGAAGTGTACAAAGAGGAGTTCCGAGACCTGCTGGAGGTGGGCACTGCCAGCCGTGACATCCAGCTTCGGGAAGATGATCGTGGAAATGTTGGTGAGGAACTCCTGGGTCCTCCACTGGCTGGGAGTGGGTACCTGGCTTGAGGAGGTTTCACCTACTTAGGGTGGCTTATCTGTCCTGTGCAGGGTACCTTCTAACTGGGAAACCCAAGCCCTGGAAGATTTTGCTTTTGTTTCCCCTGTCTCCACTGAGTTCAGGGTATACTTGTATACCTAGAATGAGAAGCATTGAAGTGGGCTTGGGGGAACCTGGAGCCCCTTAAGCCCCAACCAGGATGAGCAGGAACCACCCCCTCCCCAGGCGTGGGGAAGGGGCCCTTGAGTCAGGAAGAGCGGTAGAGGACCAGCCCTGCTCTGCCTGCTGTCCTAGCTGGTGAGTCTCAGGCTGCCCCTGCCCTGAGCTCACTGCCTTCTGTGCCTGCAGTGCTGTGTGGGGTGAAGGAGGTTGATGTGGAGGGCCTGGACGAGGTGCTGAGCCTCCTGGAGATGGGCAACGCAGCGCGGCACACGGGGTCCACACACCTCAACCGCCTCTCCAGCCGCTCACACACGGTCTTCACCGTGACCTTGGAGCAGCGGGGGCGCGCCCCCAGCCGCCTGCCCCGACCTGCCGCGGGCCAGCTGCTCATCTCCAAGTTCCACTTCGTGGACCTGGCGGGCTCAGAGAGGGTGCTCAAGACGGGCAGCACAGGCGAGCGGCTCAAGGAGAGCATCCAGATCAATAGCAGCCTCTTGGCTCTCGGCAATGTCATCAGCGCCCTTGGTGACCCCCAGCGCCGCGGCAGTCACATCCCCTACCGGGACTCCAAGATCACCCGGTGAGCTGCCAGATGACCATGGAGAAGGGGCCCCGAGCGCCGCACTAGTTTGTCATGGCTCCTGTCTGGCATCTGGGGTTAGGGGGAGGCGACTGTGGGATGGATCCCCACCTGGCTTCTGGGGCTCGCCGTCCACCCAGACGGGGTATCTGGCCCACGGGGAACCATGCCGAGGATCAGACCTGATTTGGGGTCTGGACCTCTGGCCCTGGCACACTGGGGCCCCTGACACGGCTCGCCTGGCGTCCTCAGGATCCTTAAAGACTCGCTGGGCGGGAATGCCAAGACAGTGATGATCGCCTGTGTCAGCCCTTCCTCCTCTGACTTTGATGAGACCCTCAACACCCTCAACTACGCCAGCCGCGCCCAGAACATCCGCAACCGCGCCACCGTCAACTGGCGGCCAGAGGCGGAGCGGGCGCCGGAGGAGGCAGTGGCCGGTGCGCGGGGCCGCCGCGGCACGC